AAGCAATACGGTGTTGAGAGGCTTCAGCCTGGTGCCAGAATAAAGCACAATGCTAAGCTGTAGGGTTTGGATGTCACAGGGCAGAGTGGCGTGGTAGCATGTTGTTGGCTGTTTGTTTGATAATGGCCAAAGGCCGGCCGCATAAATAGTTCATTGTCAAAATTGTTACACTATTAAAATTGATAGATATATAAATCGCTATTTGTTGATACGGCATAGCTGTTCCTCAGCTGCTCGTAGAGGTGAACTTTTGATATGGACATCCAGTCTGTTCACCTGTCCGTTGGTGTCTGAAGCAGGGAACCAAGACCTTCTGGGGGCAATTATTGGCATTGACTTCATCCATGACACCAATATTAAGGGCATAATCCATATATTTTCCGAGAATCCTCCGTCGACAATTACACTTGATATGGTCTCAAGTGTGATATGCCATATTGCACTTCCATTATACCCAGAACAATGGGGTATAGGCAAAGAGTTGTTTCAAAGGTCCCGGTGTCCTTTAGTTTCATTGGGTGTCGTAGAACTATAATGCAATGTCTCCTTTCCTATTGAGTCAACATCTAATCCGTGATAGTTTTCTTTTCCATATACATGTAAGTCATGCCATTCCATTACCCCAGTGATGGTGCGTTGTTCACGACAAGCAAGCGTAAAACACAGGCCTCAGCGTGCCATTTCTCACAGTGGTCCCCTGTAACCGACCATTCCAGGCCTCTCGTCATCAGGTCCCTGCTGCCCAAAACCTTGCATTTTTCTTTAATTGCCCGTTGCCCCGTCAACAGAGGGCACCGTTTACTTTGCCTGCTAATTTTCTACTACTTGTGCATGGACTGGACCTATTTCATACAAAGGCATTCTATCTTTTCATTAAAGAAACCCAACATCCATCTCAACTGTTTTCCTTCATACACAAACAAAGAACGTTATCACAAACCAGCTTCTGCTCTCTCCACACTCGAGTATTACTCTCGCACACGAACGCCTCTAACTTCTTCTCCCAACACTTTCATCATGTCAGCCAAGGTTCTCGCCGATAAGGACGTCAACGCTCCCATGATTGAGCAGCCAGTTACCAAAGACGTTAAGAGCATGGAGTATCACCGCCAGGTTCTCCAGTCCAAGATGGCTGAGGAAGAGACGTGAGTGATAGTCAACAGCCTCATCTCAGTGTCAAAATCTAACCTTGAAGCAGTGCCAACAAGTACGTCTCGCCCTCAGACAACATCATGAGCCCTTGCTCTGCAAAGATCAATGCTCTACGAAACAAGCACGCCAGCAAGTTCGTCATTCTTTCTCTTCTCTGACAATGGCAATGAACTAACATCCTCTTCAGGGCCAAGCCTAAGTCCTTGTTCGCCCAAGCGAGCGCTAAGAAACTCCAGGGCGACAATCCCTTGGGGGCGAAGCCAGCACCAGCCAAGGCCGGTTTTCAACTGTAAGAGAATCAACAATATGTCTCTTCTTTCCGGATAAAACATGCCCACATTTCATGGGCACGGCTTTTGTTTTTGTTGGCTATAGACTACTAGCCAATGGTGTTTATTAAACCGCTGGAGGTCAGGTAAAGGGCGTTAGGGGTTCACTTGACATACACATACACACATTGTATTGGTGATACAGGCTACGGAAACTTGGGCTTGATGATATGATGCGATGACAGGGTTTGGCTTGCCTTTCTTTCTGGTGGCCGGTTTATGTACGGTTTTTAACAATGAAACATGTCTTTGAGTTCTACACTTAAAGGATGAAACCGAGTGTCGTAATGATTTTTTTTGTTTTGTTTTGGCTGTACAAGCTTGCACATGCATCTAAGCCTTCCAGGCACTGACGATATACACTACATCTTCATCCGCAACAGGGTGTGCTAGACCAACTCTTTGAGGAACATGTCTTGCACTAGCACCCCACACCAGCGCATACTTGAACGTGTCCTTCAGAGTCCTATGAATGCGGTCGCAGACGTCCTCGATTGTGCTGTTACTGCGCACAATCAACGCCTCACCAAAGTCTGGTTCAGCACCCTTGCGTTTCGTGTAAATACGGATCAGCTTGAGCTCTTTCCAACATCTGTCCACAACATCCTGGATGCCCAGGTCCAGTTCGCAACTCATGACAACGGTATGATCCTCGCGTGCCAGCTTGTCCAAGAAGTCAAGCGAGACACTATCAATCTTGTTGTAAACGTACAGACACTTGATGTACTTTCGATGGTCCTTCATGATAACATCAATGAAGTCATCGACTGTGGCGTTCTCATCACGGACAAGTACCTCACAATTAAGGATCTTGTAGTCGCGCAGGATGTTGTAAAGCATCTTCTCGTCCAAGTTCTTGGGAGGCGACTGGAATGTGATTTTCATGCCACCCGCTGTCTTGACCTTGAGGTAAATGTTGCTAGGGTCTCATATTAATAGCGATTCAAACTTGTCTCAGTTGAACTCACGGTGGTTCTCGGTTCAGGCGAATACCGACAGCTTCCAATTCAGCCTCGAGCAATGCTCTTTGTTCGGCTTTCTTGGTAGCGTCAAGAACCATTAGAATAAGGTCACTGGTCTTGGCAGCTGAAATAACCTGTCTTCCTCGACCCTTCCCTTCAGAAGCACCTTCGATAATACCGGGAAGATCGAGCAGCTGAATCTCAGCACCGCCATACTCGAGCACACCGGGAATGGCTGTCAAGGTTGTGAAAGCATAAGAAGCAACTTCTGACCGCGTCTTTGTGACTTTCGATAAGAACGTCGATTTTCCTACTGATGGGAAACCAACAAGAGCAATTCGCGCATCACCACTTTTGCTGACATCGAAACCTGAGCCACCACCACCGCCAGCTCCAGGACCAGGCTCTAGAAGCTGTGCCCTTAGTCGAGCGAGTTTTCTAGAATAATTAGTATAAATCTCTTTCAGGCCACAGTCTTGTAGCCACGGGATGCCAAACCAACCCTTTTAATAGACCCAAATGATATTCTGAGTGCCGTTAATATTGCAACATTCAGAAATTGTTTTTACGACAACATACCAGTCGCCTTGTTCTCTAAAAGGATATTAGTCAATGTTCATGAAGGCTTGTGAAGTCCTGGAAATGGGTTGATATTCGTCCAACTTGTCGCAACTTCAATTTCACCCACGGCCGACTGCTTAGGTCTCGTCTTTGGGCAAACTGCAGCAACTGTGCAACAAAGGGACATATCATCAAGTTTCTAAGATGATATATCTACTCACTTTGTGTCTTCTTCATCTCCTCCTCAATCCTGTCATCATGTCAGTGATGCCCCGCTACTGTTTTCAAGACTAAACCTACTCCTTGATCTTCTCCGTAATGTTCACCATATTGGCGGTACTTTGAGACGCTTTTGCGTCTCTAGAAACTGTTTAACAAGGAAAAGACAATCAACAGAAAGAATAAGCAGAATCCTGGGCGCCAGATCAAGATCTAAATCATGAGTGGGGGGTTGAGAGAGGCCTGATGAAGTCGTGGCAGAATTCGAACGAACAAGCTCCACAGGTGCGGGAGGTCAGTCTCACCGCCTTCCCTTTCTGACACTTTATTTCTCCCCAGAAATGGATCTTTTAACAGCCTTGCATCATCAGCACAGGCTCGTCGCGTTGCCATCATAACAACCTCCCTAGGACTCATCTTCCACAATCGATACAATGGCCGATACAGCAGAACAAATCGAAACGGCGCCGGTCGTCGAGCAAGAAGAGCAGAACATGGCCGTAGCGACCACGAATACCGAGGTTGCAGCACCAACCGGAAAGAAAGTCGTCAAGAAGATCATTCGCAAGAAGAAGCGACCTGCGCGCGCCCAAGTCGATCCCGATTTTGTCACATCAGAACCCCCTCCTCAGACCGGTACAATCTTCAACATTTGGTATAACAAGTGGTCCGGTGGTGATCGAGAAGACAAGTACCTATCGAAGACTAAAGCGAAGGGTCGCTGCAATGTTGCGAAGGACAGCGGATATACCAAGGCCGACGTGATGCCTGGAAGCTACTTCTGCTTGCGCTTTGCGCGCGGCGTTTGCCCCAAAGGTCAAGACTGCGAATATCTTCATCGGCTACCTGGACCATACGATCACTTCAACCCCAACGTCGACTGCTTTGGACGCGACAAGTTTTCCGACTACCGAGACGACATGGGTGGTGTCGGAAGTTTTATGAGGCAGAACAGAACAGTGTATGTTGGGAGGATTCATGTTACAGACGACATCGAAGAGATTGTGGCGCGACACTTTGCAGAATGGGGCCCTGTAGAGCGCAGTAAGCTCCAGTTTCACTATCCCAATTGACTTGTTGCTAACAATTGTAGTTCGTGTTCTCAACACCCGAGGTGTCGCATTTATCACATATGTCAACCAAGCCAATGCAGAATTTGCCAAAGAGGCCATGGCGCATCAGTCTCTCGACCACGAGGAAGTGCTCAACGTTCGCTGGGCAACAGCCGATCCCAATCCTATGGCGCAAGCTCGAGAAGCCCGCAAAATTGAGGAGCAAGCTGCTGAGGCTATTCGAAGAGCCCTTCCTGCAGAATTCGTGGCTGAAATCGAAGGGCGAGATCCCGAAGCTAGAAAGCGACGGAAGATCGAAAGCAGCTATGGTCTTGAGGGATATGAAGCGCCCGATGAAATCCACTTTGCCCGGGGTACCCAGGCAGTCAACCCCCTGGGTCGAGAAGGGTTGGAAGTGGAATATCAGGAACGGCCAATGATTGAAAACGGAGAATCAGGCGAACCACCGGTTCAAGTTGAGGAGCAACAGCCTCAAACTCAACAAGAGACGGGTGGCATCTTCTCAGGCAGCACCCTCGCGGCCCTTAACAAGGCCAAGGTCTCGGTGGCATCGAAACCGAAAGCAACGGCTACAACAGGACCTTTGGTGGCATATGGCAGCGACAGCGACAGCGATGATGAATAGGGACAAGGCGTTTGATTGATATTTAGAAATGCATAGATAATTTGTATTACAATAATGATACCACAAGCAGCATACGACATCAGCTGTTGAAAATTCTAGAGTACAATGTCTCATGCCGTCCAATCCATAAATCCATAAGAGGCACTGTTTGCCCAGCCTCCTCAACCGAAGTATTCCACTCTCGATCGATCATGTCGTCGATCATCGTCTGTACTTGCTGTCCAGCTAATACCTTTTGCGCCTGGTAGGGACCAAAGACACTTGCTCTCACCGCAGCAGATATCAACGCCTTCACATGACTGAGCATGAAGACATATGCTGTCTGTCGCAAACCCAGTCCCACGAGAGCGCATATCGCTCCAAACAGCGGCGCCAGATGCGCAGAGACGAGAGGTACTTCGTTCTGGTTTTCGCGCCTTAACAACACAGCAAATTCCCTCAACGGCTGCCCGTCAACATCTGGACAGCTGGCACGGAACGACCGCTCCCATATTCCTAGCAGCGCACGACCCTGCGCTACGCTTGCACGTCGGCCAACAGTGCAAATGATAGCAGCGTCGAGCTGATCATCTAACTGAGGAAGAGACTCGGGGTCGCGGTGCGCGGCTAGGACAAAGGGCAGTGTTGTCGCGGCGAACGATGAAAGCGATGAAGGAAGAAAGGAGGCAAACGATGCCGAGGCACGCGGTTCGTGAGCAAGATAAGACTCGAGACCACTGCTAAAAGCAAACGAGCCTAATGGAAGTGCCGAGTCTGAGAGAAGAAGTAGAAAATGAGTTGTCGAGGCGAGATGAGCTATGAGTCGTGAGTTATGGCCCTTATCTATAGGTTGAGATGAGTCTTACTTACGGGGTGGCGAAGGCTGGACTTTGTTCAGACGTGCTTTAGCGTCTTGAAGACGCTTTTCTAATTCACGGATCTCATCTTGAATAACGTTAGCCGTATTCGGTGCCTGAATTTGTGAAGGCATCATGTGTTTAGATATTTTTAGAGGTTAAGTTGAGCATCAAAATAGCTCGTTCAAAGATAAGACCATCGAGGTTTAAAAAACTACTACTTATCAAAACCATGACAACCATCATCATGTAAATCCAACAATAAGAATTCCTTCGAGGAAAACCCCCCAAACTCCACGCGAATGCCAATCCAACCCAGTCTTTTTGACTGGGAGACAAACAATTGTCAATAGTCAGGGTATTCCACCTCACTTACTCATATCACACCCAAGGTATCCATCGTATGTACATTATCATTCTCAAGGTCGAACATTCTCCTTATCATATGCCTTTCTTCCACGCGCTCGTTTCTTCTCCGCCATTCTTTGTTCAATTCTTGCAATCGCAGCAGCTCTGCGCTCAGGCGGAAGCACGCTCTTTGGCATGTTGGCCATCAATGTGCTGTTGTTGGGATCTGGGCCCCCTACACGTGCATAGTGGTCGTGTAGTAAGTCGATTCTTTCTTCAGGTTTCTCGCCAGATGTAATGCGCTTCGAGCGAGCGATTGACTTGGCCAGTGCGGGCAGGTCAGGCGCGGCGATGTCTTCCAGGCCAGTTCGGCCGGGAGTCGCACCCCCATTCTCAATCCGCTTGGTGATTTCTTCGCCAAGATATGCTCTATTTCTTGGTGATCGCGGAACGAATGGCTGCCATCTAGGCCTGCCAACGTCTGGCTTATCACGAAGACTTGACGATACTGGCTTTGACGTGCCGATATCCGATCTGGTAACCTTTGGCGCAGCGTCTTCGTGAAACTTTTGGCGTAATGAGGGCACGTTTGGGTCTGTGGTCTTCAGTTCCAAGGTGTCATTTCCAAGCTCGGTCAAGTCAAAACTTCGTCGTTCCATATTATGCCCTCGATTCTTAGTGCTGTCATCCACGACGATTTTTCTAAGCTTTGAGGCCTCGTCTGCCAGACGCCCCGCGTCTGTCTGAACATGCCAGCTCTTAGGCCGAGTTGCGTTGTCGTTCTGCTCGGGAGCATCATTGTCGCCAGCCTTGAGGATCCTGATTTCCTTCTTGAGTTCCGCAATCTTAGTGTGTGCCCGCTCCAAAACTCCATTGGTGTCCGCATTGTGGGCTTGGGTTTCATGACGATAGGCTTCGAATTCTTCTTTTAGCTGTCGTAGCTCCTCATCCTTCTTCTTATTTTCTTCCCTTGCTTCACGAAGCTGGGCGCGCAGTTCTTGTGCTCGTGAACCTTCGCGCACCGGTTCGTTTTTGGGGTTTTCTTGCGTAGTCTTCGTCTCGTTCATTGCCTCGGCCTTGGTAGCACGCTTCTCCGCCGCTCTGAGCTGACTTTTTAGAAAAGATATCTGCTCACGAAGTTCTCCAACTTCCTTGACTTGCATTCGGGCTCGCCTCAGTTCGCGCTGTGTCTCGATAAGGGTTTTCTGCGTCCTGGGTGATGTCACTTGTCGTCGCTTTCGGTCTTTGGGGTCGGCATCGTCTTCCCGCTCTCGGAGGAACTCCTCAAGTTGGTCCTCAAGCTCTTGGACGCGTGTTCGATACTGCACAGCCAACGCTGTCTGCTTCGTGAGTGTCGATAAAAGCTCGGAGCTGACTTCGTCTGATCTGTCTACTCGCTTCGATGCAATCTTGGCAGCACCTTCGGCAATCTGCCTTTCCATCTCAATCACTTTTTGCTGTTCTTCCTTGAGCTTAACTGCGAGGTCAATTGCCTCAGCATCCTTTTGTTTGGCATACGATTTCGCCAGCTGCTTGTACTTGAGGAGCTTCTCCATTTCGGCCTTGGCGTCTTCGTGGTATTTCTCAAATTCCTCCTTCCAATATCTGCCCGACTGCGAGTGAGGCTCGTTAAGATCAACCGTAATGTCGTGTGTGCAGTAGTCCTCATCATCAGCTTCTTCCCACTCATCTGAAGAGTCATCCTGATCTTGTTGTGCTGTGTTCTTCTGATTTACCGATTTGGAAGCCTTTTCCAAAGCGTCGTTTAGTCGCATGCGTTGGCGCGGTTCTGGCTCCTTGCTGAGATTGTTATTCTTCTTGACGTCTTGTCCAAAAGATACGCGCTTTCGTCTCGTAGTTCCGGTACCTGGGGTCAAAAGAATTCCTTGTGGTCGAGGCGGGGTCCGAGACATTTGAGCTGTCTTGTCATTTCTGTCTTTTGCTAGTGCTCTTGTATTTTGGTTGGTAGGTCGCGCCGGAGTTCCAAACAATGCGCTCTTGAACGCTCTGGCAGCGAAAACAGGCGCGGGGGTGTCCGGTTGATCAATTTGAGTGGTGTCTAGTAAACAAAGTCAGTTATCTCACCTGCTTTCACGTCTAAGTGCATATATACCTCCATCATTGACCGGTTCTGGCGCGTTCTCGCCGCGTCTCAACATCCAACCCAACATCTTGCGGCACGTTGCGCGTAAGCGTGAATGCGAATGTCAGGCGCCCGATTAAAGGAGGGAAGTCCTTCGCATTAGCGATCACAAACGTTGAAGTAACATTTATCCTCCTCGTCGGTCGTGTTGTATGGTTGACCGTCTAATTGTGGCAGGATAGGATTGGACGAAATTGGATTGGTTGATGTCAATGTTGACTTTCGTTTTCAATGTTTACTTTCACCTGTCGCAGATCAAAAACGTCCAACCCTGGCGCCCCTGTCCCACCAGGGCCTTCTACCCAATGAACGTCGCGCTAGCTCCAAAATAGAGGGGCCATTCAGCTAATGCAAGATATCAGTCTCTCTGCAGATACACTACAAGCTATCATAACTTAGAACCATATTACCATAAACATGGCGAGCATTCCTAAGACGATTCTTATTAGACTTGAATTTGGGAGTAAGTTGTCCTCATACGAAGAGTCCACTGTTCCCTATTTTCTTCCAGGCAATCCAAGGTTGAAGGTACATCTAATCAGTCTATTGCACGAGCTGTACTGTAGCCTCAGAGGGAGCAAGAAAATATCTAACTTTAATAGAAGATGTCAAAATAGAATCAGCTAAAGGCATCCTAAACTTGTGCTAATTTACCCAAGTCTTTTTGTCTTTTGGATCAACGTTCTGAGTTTTCTTTCCTACCTGTGTAAGGACGTCAAATAGCCCAGGCGGTAGCTCCAGTTGAGCACTCAAGCAATTAAGCTGAGGTGGCCGCCACCGGAAGAGCCGCAGCGGACCCCTCATCAGCCCTGTGGCCGCCTGTAATTCGATGAAACGACACCGCCTTTGTGAATGGGTGTGTCGCCAATTGAGTTGGCAGCCTGGATGGATGCCAGGTATCGGAAACTTAAGACGAGGGGGTTTTAGGGGATATATAATTCCTTTTTTTTCGATGACTATTTCATCTAAATGTTGTCTAATCTTAGACCTAAGCCTTAGAGTAGTAGGTCTAAGCTTATGATGATATTTTGATAAGATGGTCAGAACCTTAGGATACCCGGATTTAAGCATCTCCAGGTTGAGATGATTTTTAGGGGGGTGTGAGGAAAAGAGTGGCCCCTACCTACCTACCTACTATGTTAGCTACCCCGCTGTCCCAACGTCAGAAGGGGATTTTGCCTTCCTCTCCTCCTTATCTTTCATCCATACCTTGGATGTCCTTATAAAATCCTCAATACAACATCATTTATCATTTCAGTATCGCCGTCATGGCCTCTTCCCTGTAGAAGTCGCAGCTTTTGCTGTGACTTCCTCTTTCTGCAGACATGGCGGGGAAGCAATCTGGGGTTTGGAACACACCCTCGGGTCTAAAGAACAACAAGAATGAGTCAAGTTTCCCGGGCTTGCTACCTGCTGTTGCGAGCCCGGAGGTCAACAACAAAATCGAATATGGAGAGCTACAACAGAACGAACTACTAGCCCTTGAGGCTATTTACGGCGACGACTTCGTCATGCATACCGAGACTCAGAGCGCCTGGAAGGTACCTTTGAAGAACCCTAATCGAGATCCATCATCTTGGTCAACAATGAAGCTCACGACCTATATATAGAAGTCAGAACCGCATTTTGATATCCGGATAAAAGCATCATCGGATGAAGACTTTGCTTGTACGCTAGGTTTTGTCATGACTGCAACTTACCCAAAGTCACCTCCTCTTATCACGTTGAAGAACTACGATCTCAAGGACGTCACGACATTCAAGATCCAGAAGTACCTAGAAACGAAGCCAAAGCTATTTGCACAGGACGCACAAGAAATGATCGATCAAATCGTCGAAGGGGTACGGGATATCCTCGAGGATGCTGCGCAGGCGAAGGCAAACGGGAAGCACCTCCCTTCTCTCGAAGAAGAACGAGAGCGGCATGAAGCTTCCATGGCGAAGTTAGCAGAAGAGAAGAAACAAGAAGAAGATCGAAAGAAAGAAAAAGCGACGCAAGAAGAAGATCGTATCATGGCCGAGATGCTCCAACAGCAGGTTGAACGACGGAAACAGAAAGCCAAAGAGTCAAAGCGTCGCAACAGCGGCAATATGCCCCAGCAATCTTCAACAAGCTCAGAGACAGAAGAAATCATCGAGTTCGAGCAATTATGTAACGCTACGGATCAGTCAGGAAATGCCCTCGTCTTCAAGGCTGTTACAGGCAAACGCCACCTCAGGCAGGGGCCTGTATCCACCGTTTACGACGTCCGACCTGTGCTGGTCAATGGGCAAGGTAGCCTGCCTTTGGCACTGAAGCAGACTATTATCCGCACCACAAATAAGGACGCGAAAGAGTTCAAGCTTCAGCTACAAAGTCTCGACTCTCGTCTTCAGGATCTCAAGTCTGTCAAGCGAGTTCATCATCGGCATCTTGTTGAAGTTTTGGGCTTCAAGGTCCAGTCCGGTCTTTCTGCTGATCCTGCTGTCTCGAATATATGCACTGTGAACATCTTGTCTCCCTTGGCGAATCAGTCTCTAGAGGAGTTCTTGGAGCTTGCGAAACGGGTTGTGGATATTGGCAGAGTGCGTTCCTGGACGCGGGATCTGCTTGATGCGCTCAATTACCTTCACAACAAGAATATTGCACATCAAGATATTCACC